TCAGAGCCCAGGTGGATGAGGGAATAGGCCTGCTGAAGAAGATAGAAGAAGATTCTAGCAAGCTCAGGAACAAGTCTACTGCTGGAAATTTCCACACTAAGCTAGACAGTTTCAAACAAGAAGAGGAGCGTGCTGACCCTGGGCCTCCACCAAAGAATTCCCCATAGAGAGTGCCCAGGGAGGCTTGTCTATCTAGAGCAATCTCTGGTGTGTCTAGTGGTTTCCACCCCTACTGCATCCCAGAATTCTCTGATAACCAATGCTATCTAAAGGCCGTCTTCTCTGTGGCCTGAAGGCAGCTTGGCCCTGTGGGGCATCTACACTGGCAAAGGGTTTAATCCCCACAAATGAATGTGAAATCACGGTAACTAATAACTTGCCTTTCTAAAAGGTCTGGCAGTCACACTTTGAGGACCACTGTGTTATAGAATAAGAGAAGGTCAGAGATCCAGTCAGTTCAAAACAAAATGTGCAGCCTAGTCTCTAAGCACAAATGATTTCTTCTGAAGAATTCCTAAAGAAAGAATTTACATCCTGCCGTGGCTGTACTCTCCCTTGCCCAGTCCCTATCTCCCCACCTTCTGTGCCCACCAGACCTGTGCTGGTGGGCACTGCCATGGCTCTCTCTGCCTCCGTGCATGCCCAGTAAGAGTTGACTCCTCTACCCTGTCTTCCACCTGCTTAGAGAAGGTTATCAAGATCATGATGTTGCACAAAAATAGCTGACGACCAAGCAGGCTCTCAGTTCAGGGATGGAGATGTCAGATCAGATGGTCAGGATGTTGGTGGCTGAAACGCCAGGCCAGCAGAGAGACGAGAGATGAGCATGGGTCCCAGGACCCACTGCTGCAATCTCAGGGCTGGCAATCCCCTCCTGCATCCCTCCAACGGGCACATGAGGACACACCCTGCCTCCCAGAGTGACAGGGGAACAGGCACAGGAGGGCTTGGGAGAGGGAGCTGGCCATGGAGTCCCAGACAGGCTGGTGCTAACATGCCATTGGCTCACTTGTGCAATGGCCCATGGATCCTTCCAGACTTTGCTCTATCATGTTCTCCAAAGGGAAAATTTTCCTTAACTCCCAGAGCCAGTGTGACAACCTATAATATAATTAGAGCGGAGGAATGTAAGGGCCAAAAGAATGAGTACAAAGCTCTGAGTGCAGGGTTTCTGAGATATTATTTTCCACCAGAATGACCTGAGGAGGGGGAGAATGAAGTGCAAACCCAAAGACCTCCCTCAGAGGTTCTGACTCAGCAGGGGGTGGTGAGCCGAGCCCAGGAGCACCTCTCTTCCCAGCCCCATATTCAGTCCCTTTGTGTCATTGGCTTGAAACTGGCCATGGTGGGAGTATTTATTATACCACAAAATGGGCAAACACTAACAAATCATGACATTTTGTTCTGTTTTACTTTGCTTTATTTTGGAAAGCCACTTGTGGATAGGATCATTCACCAGCACACCGCAGGGCCTGAGGTCTCTTTTTTTCAAGAATCCCACACAGTTATGATGAAGGTCCACTAGAAAAACACTCAAGTGACAAGGTTCTAATCCAAAGCCCTCATTTTACAGAAAGGGAAACTGAGACCCAGTGAGGAGAAAAATCGTGATCAAGATCACCATTATAGCTCCCTCGTGGACTGAGGGCTGCTTGGTTGAGGGTATCTGGGCTTGGGAAGGTAGGTTGGGGATGACAGCCATGCCTGTTTTCCTGAGTCTCGCACCACACACCAGCTGTGGTTAATTGGCCAAGTGAGGGAGGGCAAGAAGGCCCCATTCCTGCAGGTCAGTCAGATTTTGGAATTTGAATGGGGGTCCCAGAGTCTGTGAGTGGGGGACCGACCACCTGATTGCTGGGCCCAGGACAGTAGGCACGTGAGCCCCAGCTGCTGAGGGCCCCAAGGGCTGCTTCATCCATTCCCAGCCTTCAACACTCAACTCCTCATTGAGTTCAAAGAGATTCCCAAGCATCCTCCCAATGAATTCTGTGTCTTATTTAAAATAACAAGCTATTTTTCCATGACTCATGACCAAAACCACCTTCAGAAACACAGCCATAGAGCCACTTAGCGAAAACAAGAACCCAAGATTTCTGCCCCTTTTTCTTGTACCCTCAGACAGGATGCAAAAAGATGAGTGAGTGTGCAAACATGCAGCTCCCCAGGGTGGTGGAACCCAGGGTCATTCCTAGACCTGCAGCATCCACAACCCATGGGATTGCATGGGAAATGCAGATTCTCAGGCATTTCCCCAGAGCCACTAAATCAGAAACAGGGGCTAGGTTACAGCAAGCTGTGGCCTTATAGTCTTCCAGATGGTTCTGATGCCCACTGAACTTTGGGGAGAGCCTCTCCAATGGAAGGGACCATCGTTTTTGTCTCCTGGCAATGAATCAAAAGCTGTTCTGCTCAGGTAAAAGAGGCCACTGAGCTGTCAGGCCAGCACCTGCTGTGCAGTCAGTCATGCCCCTTCCTGGCCAGCCTCATCTGCACAGTGCCCATCCATGCTGAGCTATGACAGAGGCCCTCTTTTCAAAGACCGAGAGACAACATCTGTCAAAAAAAAAAAAAACAACAGAACAAGCTCAGTAGACATGTCAGGAAGTGCAACTTCTGTCATGTCTTGGTACCCAACTGAGGGCGTGACTCGGTGCATTGCTGGGTCCTCTGGATTCTCAGAGGCTGACTCTGGCTGACTGGGGCACAGCTTTGGTGTCCTTCTGGAAGAAGGGCTGCCAAGGGCCTGGCTCTAGAAGCCACTTTGGCCTCTCTGGATTGTCTACAATTTCCTCTGTTTCTTCTGCTCCCGAATTCAGGGAGAAAGATGGGCCTTGAGGGTAAATGAAGAAGTGAGATCACGGGGGAATGGGCAAAATAATCATTAACAGCTACATTAATAGCTATTTTGGATAGAATTCCACGGAAGGGGCTGTGGAGCCATGGAAGAGTCTGCCCAACAGAAGCTGTAATCTCAAAACCATGGCACCAGAGCAGGAAAGAAAGTCTATAATCTCTCTCTGCTCTTCTGTCTTAACAGCCTGTGGCTTCTTTGGCAGAACCCAACCAGGGAACCCAAGTGATGTGATCTGAGGACTAACTTCTCAGGATCCAGAAAAGAGCAGATTCAGGAGGGAGACGCTGTTGGGCAGGGTATACTGTGCAGACAGATAATAAACAGAACCCGGGGAAAAAACAAGACCTAGGTCCCCCCTCCTTTTCACTTAAATCTCTCTAGAGAATCACTGAACTCTTCAGAAAGTCTCTAAATTGCCATAATGGTTTGACAGACCCAGATTTATAGCCTTGGCAAAGGGCCTGTCAAAGATAGTAGCAAGAACTTTAGCTATGCCATCAAGCATACACAACCACGCCATGGGAGCTTCCAGAAAAGTTTCACCAGGAGATGAAAACTCTGACAGTTTGAATAATCAAACAGCCTTAATGCCAACTCCCAGATACATTACTGAGAACCGATGGACAATTGCCCAGAAAGGATACTTCTAACAGAAACTATGCCAGCCTATGACTTTATAGGAGAGAAAAAATTGATTTACTTAAAATTCTCTGCAATTAATACCCACCTAAGATTTAAAAGGTCTGGTCTCAGACATACCATTCTTCCTAGAGGGAAATTCTCCAGAATTTACCCTCATTGGGAAAGCTGGGAGAAATGGGAGGACACTAAGACCCTTCTAAGAGTGAAAAAAAGAATGTGCTGCTTCGTAACACTCTTGCCGGAGGTAATTTAGTCCAGCAAGCAGTGAGTGGAAGCCAGCTTTGTGCCTGGAAGTGTGTACATCACCATGATCAATTTAGTCTCTGACCTCAGGATGTTTAGAGTCTAATAGTGAAGAAAATGGCATAAGTAGACGATTTCCATATCAAGAGATCATTAATAATAAAGATGTGCCAAAATGCCCCCCTACAAATATGGATTTCTGCTTTACATATTTTAAGGCTGTGTTATTAGGTACATATACATTTAGAATTCTTACATCATGTCAGAAAATTTAAAATTTCAATATTAGAAGATGACCCTCACTATCTCTAGGATGCTTATTGTCTTGAAGTAAAAACTGATATGGCTATACAACCATTCTTTTGCATAACTTGTTCATTCTTATACTTTAGCCCTTTCTGTAGTCCTTTTAGATACTTGTAAAAAGTCTGTAGTTAGATTGTCCATATTCTCTTTTGTTTCTCTTGCCACTGGAGACAAATGCACAAAGCTAATGTCACGGTTCTTTCCCCTATGTTTGCTTCGATGTATTTTACGGTTTCAAGTCTTACATCCATGTCTTTAATCCATTTTGAGTAACTTTTGTGTGAGGTGTGAGATGGTCACCTAATTTCATTCTTCTGCATGCAACTGTCCAGTTTGAAAATGACAGGTTTTAAAGTAAGTTTGGTGTGCTACAATTTTAGAAACATGTGCAAACTATATAAAAGAGAGAAAATACATGATTAGTGGAGTATTTCTCAGGATGAAATGACTAATAAAACTCTCCCTTCTTTTTTCTTTCTTTCTTTCTTTTCTTTTCTTTTTTTTTTTTGGCTTTTTCCTGTGTCTTCTCAATTTTCTACATTGAATATTTTTATTTTATAATTAGAAGTGATTTGATTTTTTAATTAAAAAACAAATCCTGCCACACCTTTACCATTGAGTCCTAGACAAACTCTTAGATAAAAACCTCCCTACTTTCATCTTACCCACCCCCAACTCCAGCCAAAGACAGGCTGAGGTAAAAGAGCAGTCCTGTGTCAAAATGCAGATTCTCATTCATACCTTGACTCCCGCCCACTCCCCCACTCATTGCTCTCTGCCCCAGCTTTCGACCTTTGAGAGAAGTAGGAAAGTAACAAAATCAGTCTCACCATGACTGAGCTTTTCTCAGCCCCTCGGTATCTCAGGCAAATCACAGAGAAGGAACTTCCAACCTCCTTAAGAAAGATCATGTGGTCTCAGAATCCTGAGGACCTTCAGTAGGCCGTTGGCTTACCTCTGTGAAGGAGGTATCGTTCTCCCATTTACAGGCCAGAAAACGAAGGCTCAAAAAGAGGAAAGTATGAGAGGTGAATCTGGGCGATCTGCCTGGAACCCTATTGGGGAGGTCGGGATCCTGAGAGTTTAAGTGCCTGCTTGTTGCGCCCTCTGGTGGAGAAGTGGCTGCTTCGCACCCAGAGGGATGACCGGGGGAGAAACCAGGTTTTTTTGATTTTATGTTTGATATCCTCATCCAACATTACGTTAAAATGCACCTCTCGCACACATTAAATATCATTCATATACAACTACATTAGAGTTGAGTTGGAGTAAACCAGTGGACATGTAGATATTTAAATAGATTCTCATGTTTTACCTTTTTCGTACTTTGAAGCCATTAACTTATGCTGGAAACTTGAACATTTTTGTGGGTTCCAAAAAAGTTTTTAGTCATTTGCCCCAATATTCTGGGATCTGAGTGTTAAAAAGTTTGGACCTCTACCCCAGTGGATAGCACTTGGCTTTGGGATTTCCAGGGGTTAGAAGGAGCAGGGACCAGCACTGTGACCACAGTTTGGCTAGGGAAAGACCCACAGTGGCTGAGGAGATGGTCCAGGCCCAGTCACAATCAAAAAGAGAGATAATAACATGTGTTGGCAAATGTGGAGAAATTGGATCCTTCATATACTACTGTAAAAATGTAAACAGGGGTTGTCACTTTGGAAACTAGCCTGGAAGTTCCAAAAGATAAAACTAAGACTTAACTTTTACCCAGCAATTCCACTTCTAAGTATATATTTGAGAGAACTGAAAACACACGTTCACCCAAAAACTTTCACTTTAATGTTCGTGAAAGCATTGCTCACAAAAGCTAAAAAGTAGAAGGAAATAAGTTCCACCAGCTGATGAATGGATAAACAAAATGTGGTATATCTATAAATGGAACAATATTCATTCATAAAGAGGAATGAAGTACTCATACATGTTACAATATAAATAACTTGAATACATGTTAAGTGAAAGAAGCCAGACACAAAAAATCACATATTGTATAATATGGATGGGGTGAGAGTAATGGGGAAAGACTACTAATAGGGGTTCTAGGATTATATTATTGTTGCACAACTTTGAGAATATACAAAACACCACTGAACTATGTAATATAAAGGAATGGATTTTATGGTTATATGAATTATGTCTCAATCATAAAATAAGAGGAAGGATAAATAAAGATTTTTTCCATGAAAGAAAACTAAAAAAATTATTCACAGAAAGAGGGTGCTCAATATGGTAAATATCTTGGTAAACGTAATAAACTATTTCTTTTTAAAATACAATAACTACTGACAGCAAAATTTGTAACATTCTCCATTTATATAGTCTTTCAATGTGTTTCAATGCCTCTAGTGGTAATACCTATGACACCTGTAACATTAAAGAGAGGTGGATATGCATTCCTCTGAAGTTATAACATTTCAATATTACATTTGAAGTGGTAAGTATTAGTTTGAAGCCACCTATGAAAAGTTAGGTATGTACACCGTAATTACTAGAGAAACCATTAAAAAGTAAAAATAAAGAAATATATTCAAAGGCCAATAGGTAAATTACAATAAGATACTTTTAAAAGTTTAATAAAAAGATTGACCTAATTTTAAAAATTAGTCAGGCAAAGGAGATGAAAGGAATCTCCCACCCTCTCTCCCCAAAATCATAAAGATCACAAATAGAAATCAGGTAACGAAAGTGTTCCCCCATCCAACCAAATTAATAAATATAGTAAATGTAAATAACTAAGCACATCAACTAAAAGACATTGACAATTAAATTGAACTTTTTTTTAAAGACTCTAGTATACATGGTATACAAAAAGAAAACCTGAAAGATAGTGTGTGTATATGTGTATGTGCGTGTGTGTATATATATGTGTGTGTGTATATATATATTATAAGATATTATATATATATATAAAGTAAAAGAAAAGATGGTCAATGCCTTTAGTCTTTAGGGAATGCAAATTAAAACCACAATGATATACTAACATATGCACATTAGTGGAGTTACTGGAACTCTCACATATGTCTGCTGGGAATGCAAATAATACAGTCATTTTAGAAAACATTCTGGCAGTTTCTTTTAAATTAAATATATACGCCGGCCATAATGAATATGGTAGATATTAATTGAACTATATTAGCAATCACTTTGAATGTCAATGATCTAAATGCACCAATGATTATCAGAGTGGATCAAAAACAAAACCCATTATATATTATTTGTAATAAATATTAATGCACACACAGATTAAAAATAAAGATAGATAAAATATACCTTTCTAACATTAGTAAAAAGAAGACAAGAGTAGCTATATTAATTATATTACTTTCAGAGCGTACTTCAAAGTAAGGAAAGTTATTGTGCGTAAAGAAGAATGTTGCACAATGATGAAGCAATCAATTCTCCAAGAAGATATAACATTCTTAACACTTATATGTCAAACAACAGAACACAAATGTGTAGTTTTGCATTATGCAAGGAAAAACCTAATAGAAATGCAAGAGAAATATATAGACCCACTTTCATAACTGGAGACTCAATACCCCCCCTCCATTAGAAAAAGACAGAATCAGCAGGCAGAAAATCAGTAAAGACATAGTTAAACTCAATCACGACATCAACCAATTGGATATAATGAACATCTATAGACATCTTTATCCAACAACAGAAAAAAACACATTCTTCTGTTCACATGAAATATTCACCTAAATAGACCGCATCCTGGGTGATACTACAACACACATTAACAAATTAAAAAGCACTGAAAACATACAATGTCTGCTCTCAGACCATAACTAAATTAACTTGGAATCAGTAAAACATGATAATTGGAAAATTCCAAACTACATAGAGAGTAAACAACATATTTCTAGGTAATACACAAACCAAAGAAGAAAATGCAAAAAAAAAAAAAAAAGAATTTTAAAGATTTTAACTGTATGAAAATAAAAACACATTTATCAAAATTTTCAGAATGCAATGAAAGTACTAGAGAAAAACTGTTAGCATTGAATGTAAATATTACCAAAGACAGACATCTAAAATAAATTACCTAAGTATCTATCATAAGAAACTAGAAACAAACAAATTAAAAGGAAAGAAAAAAATCAGAACTATGCCATCAATCAGTAAATTGAAAACAAGAAATGAATAGAGAAAACCAAAAACTGGCTCTTTGAAAAGATCAGTGACCTTGATGAATCTCTACTCAGGCAAACTAAGACAAAAGTCATAGGGCACCAGTTACTATTCTCAGAAATGAAGGAAACACATGAATGCAGAACCTGTGCACATTAAAAAAAAAAAAAGAAATACTATAAACAACTACACCCACAAATTTGATAACCTAGTTAAATTGGACCAATTTCCAGAAAGACACAATTTGCCAAAAACTCAGACAAAAATGAACAATGAACAAGAAGAAGTAGAGAATCTCAATAGGGTTATATTTGTTAAAGAAGTGGAATCAATAATTAATAGCTTCCAAAATTGAAAGTTCCATAGCCACTGGTCAAGTCTGCTGGACATTTAAGAAAGAAACCAATTCTCTATAATCTATTTCAAAGGATAGGAGGAAAGGGTATATTTCCAATTTACTGTGAGACTAGCATTATCCAAATAATGAAACCAGACAAAAACACTACAAAAAAAGAAAATTTACAGAACAATATTCTTCATGAACATAGATACAAAAATTCTCAATAAAATACTAGAAAATAAAAGCCAAAAATAATAATAATTATTATACATCTTGACCAAGTGGGATTTATTCCAGGCATGGAAGAATGGCTCAACATTTGAAAATCAATTAGTATACTACATCACATCTGGGGAGTAAAATGACAGCATGGTCTTTTCACCAAATGCAAAGAAAGCATTTGACAAAATCCAATATCTATTCACAATTTTTAAAATCACAATAAACTACAACTAAAGGAGAATTTTATCAACCTGATAAAGAGTATTCACCAAAAAAAAAAGCCTACGATTAACATCATATTTGAAAAATTTCCACAATGAAAGAGTTGTCCCACTAAGATCAGGTACCAAACATGAATGACCCCTCTCAGTACACCTTTTCAACATCACACTGAAAGTTCTTGCTAATGCAATAAAATAAGAAAAACAAAAGGTATACATATTGGGATGGAAGCTATAAACCTGCCTTTGTTTGCAGAGAAATTGATTATCTATGTAGGAAAATCTGAGTTGATTCACTTAAACCAACCAGTGATTACAGCAAGATTGCAAGCTACAAGGTTAATATACAAATATTAACAAGTGAAATTGAAATTAAAGACAACATTGAACAAGTGAAATTGAAATTAAAGACAAAACATTGCTTATATTAGCATCCCCCCAAATGAAACATTTAGGTGAAAACCTAATGAAAAATATATAAGGTCTGTATAAGGAAAACAGATTAACTCTGGTGAAGGAAGTCAAAGAAATTAATAAATGGAGAGAGACGTCACATTTGTGGACAGGACAACTTGACATTGTCAATATGTCAGTTCTTCCTGACATAATCTATAGGTTCAACACAATCGCAACCAAAACCTTGCAATATGGGTATTGACAAAAGTTTATATGGAGAAGAATAAGAGCCAGAGTAACCAATACAATCTTGCATAACAAAGATGGAAGACTGACTCACACTATCTGACTTCAAGCCTTACTATAAAGCTACAGTAATCGGGCCTCCCTGATGGTACAAGGGGTTAAGCATAGCACTGTGAAGCTGTCTGCAGCCTCTGCAGCATGAGTTGGATCCCCCACATGGTGCAGCAGATCTCTCCTGTCTTGCCCACTGCTCCCTTCAGTAGTATATTTCAGTCAGCCTGCCTGTTCTGCTCCCCACTCTGTCTCTGGTGAATCCTCTCATCCCCTGCACCTTTGGCCTGTACCCCAGTTCTTGTATGCATAAATAAATAAAATTTTTTTTTTTTTAAGAAAAGCTACAGTAATCAAGA